TATAAATATTATATTAAGTTATACATAAAAATTATAACTATGTAAGTCTACATTGGGTTTGTAAATCTAAATAAAAAATTTATATAACATTTATATAACTTGATAGATCTATGTAGATTTTATAAAAAAACAACTTCGTGATGTAATAAAATTGGGATTAAAATGAAATGAGGGATTTCTATTTGACCCTCTGAAACCCACTTATATTCAGCTCGAGAAATAGTTGCTCACGTGTTAGAAATATTCTAACTTAGATATATTTATTCACATATTACAGTATTAGAAGACAAGAACTCGGGCGACCTTAAAGGGCTTGGCATATACTTTTACGATTAGTTAACAAACGTGATAGTAAAAGCTGTGATACCAATAACGATAAATAAGGAAAGTGGATTATATAAAGATCGTTTATTTATTGATGCATTTGAAACTTAAACCTATGGATAATGTAGCATGGAATATGGCATAATTTTCTCTTTTGGTAAATCAACGTTTAATTACTATATATGTACATGAATATAATATCGATATGCAAATTTGTAAAAATGATCAATTTTGTACCACTGATTGCAAATGATGAAGGTTTATTCTTATTGGCTGAAATCCGAGCCTTAAAGAGTAATGAGATTTATATATATATAACACACCTTTTTCTAATAATATTTATAGCTTTTAAATCATACTTTCCTAATCTGTTACTCTACAAAAATATTATGAATAATGGCTTCTATCGTCCAAATAACCCCTATAACAAAAGATCAATTGACCTTTATATCTAATTTATGTGTTCCTCTGAATATCATTTCACTCATTTCTACAGTTACCTCATGCATGACATTTGGCCTTATACGAATATACTATCCTAATCTCGCTGATCGAGTTTCGTTTCGTTTAAGTTTTGCAGCTTTATTTTGCGATATAGGTTTTTCTAGCCATCTTTTACTTGCCTTTGTTTGGAATAGTACACCAGGTTTTTTGTGTGGATACTCGGTAAGATATCAATTCGCTTTCTTTTTCGATACTCAATAGCTTCTCTTTTGATACCTGATAGCTTCTTTTTTAATTCGTTAATTTCTTTGGTCCTTGAATATATAAGGCTTGGGCTATCGTATTTTTTGATCTTTCTTCCCTATTCTTTATCGTTTGTATAGCTTTGGTATGTATTATAATTGCATCCACCGTGATTTATATAATTATAATTGCATCTACCGTGATTTATATATATATTATTACATCTCTAATATTGTTTTTTAGAACCTTCATATAATATTCTTAAATGAATATAGAAGAAGTTATTATAATTTTGAAAAGTATTATTTTATAATTGCAATTTCTTTTGCCCTTTTACTTTCTCTCCTTCCACTTACTGCTGATATGTATGATTATGATAATCCCGAAAAGTATGTATATGTTATTTATATATGTTCATATATATATATATATATATTTATTTATTACATATTTAAAATATATATTATATTTTTAATTCATAAATTCAATATTTATTATAGAAGTTGCTGGTATCGTGATTCGGGTCAAGAAAATAACATAATATGGCAATGGACTACTCTCTTCGGTTGGATTTATGCATCCATCTTATATTGCGCGATCATTGTTATTATGGTTATTAGAAAACTTAGATCCGTGAAAAAAGAAATTGATGATGGTTTTGGTTCTAATTCGACTTCTCATTTATCCAATTATCCTACCTTAATTAATAAGACTGTGATTTCTTCTGTTGTCAGAAGGGTTATGTGGTATCCTGTGGTGCCATTGATAGCCGAATTTTGTAACTCTTTCGTTGAAACCTACGCTTATATTAATCGTGTACTCTCCTACCCTCTATTTTTATTTTGTTTCGTTGGCATGTCACTTCAAGGTACATATATGGCAAATGTTTTGTATTTTTTTTTTTCTTTTATTTGGTTATATTTTTTGATAACTATTTTGTCTATCTGCTAATCTTTGCATCTTAGGATTAATGAACGCTTTAGTATTTTCTCAAGATATTGCAGTTATTCATGCTTTCCAAGCTGTTAAGTTACATTGGTGGATCTACTATGTTAACTATTATGAAACTCACTATCCTCATAAATCTTACAACAAAGCTATTACTGATAAATTCAGCATGAAAGGAAAATCCAATGATTTTATTGACTTGAAAACTCTAAATTGTAATAAGACTGATATAATCAACGAAAATAACAATGATATCATTAACAATGATATTATCATTAATAATGATAATAATAATCTTAATAATAATCGTATCAATAGTAAAGTTAATAATAATTTAGTTTCACAACCTTCTCTTTTAGAATGGTTAAGATACATGCTATTGATTAGACTATTCTCCGCTCCAAAAATTCCCGCTCGATTAGCTTCATACGAACTTTTATCACCGATCAATTCTTTTGCTGGAAATAAGTCTAATACATCTTCCGCCCCGTTTGGAAAGGACGATTCAAAGCAGGATATAACTCTTGAAAATCAAAATGATGATCAAGATATTCATTACGTTCTTCCTGAACTTGCTCATTTAAAAAATTCTTCTCGATATTCCTCAGTAGATATATTTTCTCATTATTTAAATACATCAACTTCATCTGATCCCTTGATAGATAGTAATAATCAAACTATTCAATCTAATATAAGTAATATACGTGTTCCACTTATTTCTGCAACAAATATGTCGGCTGGTGATGATGAGGGACGGATTAACGTTATGCAAGTTAATAGTGAGCCAACAGATATTGATTTATCACAAGAAATTGAAATGTTTAAACTGGTGTTAAAAAGGCTCTAAAATTTTTTTATTAATTTATTTTATTTAAAAAAATCTTTTTATTAATTTCTTATATTTGTAATTAATATTATTACAAAAATCTTTTCAAATCAATTTTTACAAATAAATATCTGATATATAATATATTTACATATGTTTATACATATGCTTATACATATAGTAATTATAAATTGCAATAAAATCGTTAATATTAGCCGAATTAGTGATTGTAAAAATGATATGAATCATAAATACTTTCCGCAGAATGTAACAGCCGATCAACTAAATTTTAACAATGCACTGTGTAAATTAATTTGATTAACGAGGTTTGCAATGCAAATCAATACAATCACCTGACTATTGTCTGATTGTGAAATAATCTTGAATCAGAAGGAGGAAAAGAACTGGCAAATGAACTTTACAAGAACACTTATTTAATAATCTTGGATCAGGAGGAAAAGCATTAGAAGATGCATTTTGCAAGAACTTCACTCTGATCTCTTTTTGAATCTTACTGTAATAAACTTGGATCAGAGAGAGGAAAAGCATTAGAAGATTCACTTTGCAAAACTCCATGCTGAAATATTTGAACATTCAAATTAATAATATTAGATTTAAATTAGAATTGAAAATTCTATATTGAAATTCAATAAAATATAATAAATATAAGTATAAAAATAGTAAAATTATTTTAAATATTGTTGGTTAAATCTAACTTTAATTAGTTTATTTTGGTTAATAATAAAATTTATATAATAATAAACCATCTAAATTTAAAAGTAAAGAATGAAAAACTATACTGGAGGTTTCAGAGTTAAGGTTTAGGTTTCTGTTTTTAAATTAAATTAGTAAAGTAGTTATTCCGAAATCAGTGAACTGTAAATCATTTTGTAAGCTTATCTATATTATAATGAATACTTTTACGGCTGTAAATTTTCTTTTTTTAAAAAAACGATTGTTTATTTTATCTCCGGATAACTCCTATTTCATTTTCTGATTTTGAAACTTCTAAACAAAAATAGAACTTTTCAAACACCCATTTATATTTAAAATAAGTTAACACTGAAACCCCTACTATATTTAAATGGGTTTCAGAATTAATAATTCGACGTCCGATTTCAGACAAAATTAGTGATGTATATATTTCAGAAGAAACGATATACAAATTCTATTTTTAAAAGTATGTACTTATTTACATAATCATTTACCATAAAAAAAGCTAATTTTATCATCGACTACCTATTTAATTTAATTTTCTGATTCGGAACACTAAAAAAGAAAATAGGATATTTTAAACTCTCACTTATTTTGAAAAAAGTTAATTCTGAAACACCCTGAAATTGTAATTTATCAAATATTAAATTTATTAAATTTATTAAATTATATCAAATTTGATTATTATTATTATTGATAAAAGTTTGCAAATAAAATTATTAACTGTTATCGTGCAAACTCTTGTGATCAAAGACTTTTTTCTTGTTATTTTTTGTACATTATCCGGCAAACTCATGATCATGAAAAAATTTCTTCTTGTTATTTTTTTCATGTGTTACGATATAATTATGTTATTCCAATATTCAAAAAATAAAACTCAGCGAGCGACTCCCTACCAATCATGATCATAAATTGCCGGATAACACCAATATTGGGCAAATTGTCGAATACGGTAATTCGACAAATGATTGGCTACACGTGCCGCAAAGCGGCACGTGCTCATTTGCCAAATTACCGTTATTCGACAATTTTTGCCCAATATTGTATACTTATTACATAAGCACAACAATCTCGAATTAAAACTCAGTTAGCCAATAAATACTTGTTATTGGTTATATTGTGGATGATAACTAATTACACAGTAGGTTATTACGTATATCACGTGGCTTCGCCACGTGATATATGTTATCCCTACTGTGTAATTTTTATCAGACGCAAATTTAACTGATAACTCGCTTATTGGGTATGTCTGACGTAAGCACCGCAGTTTTTCATATATATTATTTGTCACTTTAATTAAACTTTCATTAGCTTTTTATTTGCCTTTCTCTTCATATACTTTCGCTTACTAATATTTTTATTTCCTTTCTCTCTATATACTTTCGCTTAATAATATTTTCACTTTCTTTTCAATTAAAAATATGAATTTTTCACAAGCCTCTCAACTTCTAACACAAAAAGAAATTGACCAGTTACAACAAGCTTCTCTTGTTTCGAATACTGAAAAGAATATATCCAAGTGGTTATGAGTTATTGAATGTTTTTATAAAAGTTGCAACATTTTAAAAAAAATTGAACTAATTGATTCCATTGAAGAATTGGAAGATTATCTCTGCAAGTTTATTACCTGGTTACAAAAAAATGATGGTTCTGACTATAAAGTAGAATCTGTTTATAATTGTTACAGTGCTTTAAACTGATATTTAAAAGAAAATAGTGCTCTTCAACCAATCAAGATTTGGGATCGTTATAGGATTCCTCATGCTTAATATACACTTGACAGAAAGATGAGATTATTGCAAGATAAAGGCTTGGGTGATTCTAAAAAATCTGATGGATTAACGATGAATGAGATTATACAAATTCTCGATTATAAATATATGAGTATTGATAATAATGAATCACTTACTCATCGTGTTTTTTTCTGGTTATGTCTTCTATTTGGATTGAGAGGTAGAGATGCATATCAACTTTCTAGGAATAATCTTGAATGCTGTCGAGATGGAGGATTAGAAATTGTACTACGTAGAGAAAAGAATAACTGGGGTAGTGCATTTCATAAAAATAAATATAGTAGAACTGGTTCATGATGTATCCAAATACCTCTAGATTTATCCAATAACAAGTATTCTTCAGTTAAGGACATACTTTTATACTTGTCTAAGTTGCCATTACCCAATTCTAATTTAGTAAAAGATTCTCTATTTTATAAAACCTGTATAAGCAAAAAGGGTATAGATTTACTTACACATATTAATATGCATGCATTTTTATTTAAATTTGTTAACCTTTTTTATCAAGATTTGCAAAAGGGCCATTGGTTTAAAGAAAGATCAATGGTTTCACTAAACTTAAAAAAATGATAAGTAATATTGCATCCAATACAGGAATTTATCTTAGTAATGAATGGCTAATTACAAATCATTCTTGTTAGCGTACTGCTATTTAGCTTTTAAAAAACCGAGGTATGTTGGTCAGAAAGTTTCAGAAACATGTGGTTTGTTGATAAAGTTTGCACAAATTTAGGCACATTTTAGATACAATTAGATCTTCAATTTTTTTTCAGACATCATTCTTGAGAAAGTCTAGCTGAATATTGCAAGATTAGTAATAATCAGCATATTGCAAATACAGCAATGCTTATTCCATTCTCTTTTGAGGATTTGGATTTAGATAAATATGATTACAATAATGAGTATGGAGGTTTAATTGAAGAAGCATATGATAACAATGAATTGGGTATATATTATGCGAAAACTTTAAATTTTAAAATTTTAAAAATAACTATTTTTTATTTATAAAAAATTTATTTTTTATAATTTACAGATTTAAATGATTTTTTAATTAACCAATTAGAAATTCAAACCCAATTACAAAGTGATAAAATTCAAGAAGCACAACTAAAAATTGCTGAAAGTCAAAAAAAACAATTACTTGACACTAAAATTCAAGAAACTCAATCATCTGACTTTGAAATTAATGAAGCTCAATCACACAAACAAAAAAAATTCCAAAGATTCCAAGGCTAAAGCCTCAAAAGAGAACTAATCCATATCTTGTATCTTCAGTTACAGCACCATTTAAACTACCTTATAGTCCTGATTCACCAATACTTACAAAGTATAGTAAAAAAAGAAAACCTTTGACAAATATTAAAAACAGCATTGTAATTAATCTTCCTTTGGATGTTCTACCACAAGGCTATAATCTAAACATCAATTTGAAAATTAGTTAATTTTATTAAAAATTGTATTTTTTTTAATATTTGCAAATTAACAAATAAAACTTAGCTTTGCAAATTTGTATACTTTAAATAAAGTAATTGAAATTTGTATATTTTCAAATATAACATAGTTAAAATTTGTGTATTTAGTAATAAGAAAGTGACCAATAATATATACAAAAAAGTTCAGGTGTACACATAGGACATGACCAATAATGTCTTTTAATGCATGATCATACTTGCATGATAACATTGATATTGGATCATCGCATGACCAATATCTTATAAAAAATTTTAAAAAGCTATTTATTGAAAACAATTTATTATTATTTGATAATTTTTTTTGTATATAGTTGATTCTATACATGAACCTCTCTATAACAAACTCTGAATATAAATAACTTAAAATTTTTTAAATTATACAATAAATAGTTCGTTATAAAATGCTATGGGCTTTAATAAACTTTCAATTTGGTATAAAAAAGGTTGATTTTAATAAAAAATAACATTATATAAAGAACTAAGAAAATTTTGCCTTATGAAAATACAAATGAGGGATCAGCAAAATTTCCGAAAAGCCATATTATGATCACATGATGTGGCATTAATGGCTTGGTTTTCGTAATGTGCCACATTAGCGAAGCTTTCGATTAGATCACGTGATCACATGAAATGGCTCGTGTGCAAATCTTACGTTTTTGATACTGATCGACATGTGGTTCCCGGTAAAAATAAAAAATTTAAAAACTTTGAGTGAAGATATCTCGTCAACTACCTGCATAAATCTGATAAAACATTTCGATTTGAATTCTATGGATTTATAGAATTCAAATAAAAAAAAAATTCATAGAATATAGCCATGTGGTTGTCGAGATAGCTTCGCTCAAAGTTAGAGAAAATAAAAACGCCTATCAAAATAGAAGCTGCGCCAAATTTCTCTCTAACTATATCTAGATACCTATCTGACAAAATTCGATAAAACTTTTTTTATTTGAATTCTATGAATTCATAGAATTCAAATAAAAGACTTTTCATCAAATTTAATCAAGTGGCTATCGAGGTATCTTCGCTCAAAATTGGAGAAAAATAAAACACCTATCAAAATAGAAATTTTCTCTCTAACTTTGAGC